CAGCAGCAGCAGCAGCAGCAGCAGCAGCGAACTGGCCACAAGTGGCCGGCACCCCGGGAGGCTCAGGGCCATTCAAGCCTGAGGCCCTTCCCCTGGGAGGTGCTTGTCGTGCAACCGAGCCGGAAGGGTCTCCACTGCTCGGGGACAAAGGAGGGGGCGGGAAAGGGCCTCCTGGCTGCGCTCCAAGGCCCGCTCTGTGGCCGCTTGGGCCCTCTGCCCACGGGAGGGGGCTGGAGGGGCCAGCGGCCTGGCTCTCCTGCCAGGCGACAGCAACTTCAGCCAGGCACGTGTCCACATGTCCGCAGGGGTCCCACATGGGCGCCCCACGACTTGTCCTCTGCTTCTTGGGGACACCCCCCGGGGGTGGGGTGGGGGACACGTGTACCCAGGGTGCGCAAGCGCCACGGGGGGTGGGATGCGAGCCCGGCCTCCCACACCCTCGGCGGCCGCAGGTCAGGCACCCGCGCCCGGCGGCCCTGCGGGCGCCGAACCTTCCCCGGCGGCATCACCTTCCCAGCCGACCGCTCTGTGGCCGGCGCACAGGGCGACGGCGGCCGTACTCACCCGGCTCAGGCAGCGCTCCCCTCCCGCCTCTCGTCCGTCGGCGCCGGGCCTGCACCTAGGCGGGGAGGCCGGCCTCTCGGCGCTGCGCCCCGCCCCCAGCCCAGACACCCGCCCCTCGCCGCCGCCGTTGCGCTGCGTGCGCACAGCCCGCACCCGGAGCAGAGCTCGGGGTGAGGGGCGGGAGGGCAGGGCCCCCATGGGACACAAGGCCCGGGGGCAGTCATGACTCCACTGAGGGTGCAAGGCAGGGGGCTAGACGCACGGAGGCGCCAGAGACCTGGACCTGCATACTGAGGCTTTGTAACCACCGGGGGCAGTTACACTTTTTTACCGGGGTGGGGGTGGGGGTGGGGTGTTCATACCTCCACGCCCCCCCAAGATGCGCTTTGCAGGAGGGGCTGAAATTGAGGGTACAAGTGCATTGTGCCGACATAAGGACCCCTCCCAGCTGTTCCAGCCTCCCTGCCCTCTCCACCCACCCTTATCCCAAGAAATAAGAAAGCTCTGAGACAGAATGGTGGGTGCTCATTGTTGAAGGAGGGGTCACCAGACCCCTTGGGGGCAGAGGGCAGGGCCGGGGACCAGCCCAGCCTAAGCCTGGGTGGGCTCTGGGGACTGTGCTGTGGAGGTGCAGGGAGGGCTGGGGTCCGAAGGGGCCAGGCCTAAGCGCTGGATGTTGGCCTGAAACTTCTGGAGGCCGAGCTTCAGGATGGCTCGCACCTCCTCAGCCACATCCTGCCGGTCACTCTGCTCCAGGGCCTGCACCAGGAGCCACACAGCGCCTGGCCGCCCGGCTTGCCGCTCAGCCCAGGAGAAGAGCATGTGGCGGATCTGTCCGTCCAGGTCATCCCTGAGGGGGGGACACAGTGAGTGGCTGGGGGCCTCTGCCTAGACCCCTCCCCAGAGCACCCCCAGTACCACCTTGGGAGGTGGGAGCTCACCGGAACTCATGCCGGATACGCTGCAACTCACTGTAGGACAGGCCCAGGTTCAAGGCCACAGCCTGCCAGTCGGGGCCCAGGCGCTTGCCCACACAGAGCAAGTTGCCCTGGGTGAGGAAGCCACTCTCCGGGTCACCCAGGTTCAGAGGCTCTAAGGAGAGGCTGGCCCCCGGCCCCTGCTCTGGCCCCAGCCCTGGCCCTTGGGACCGGCGAAGTCTCTGTGGGGAAGAGGGGTCCCTGTGAGCCCCAGCTTCAGCCCCTGACCCAGAATCCTGCCCCGCCCCGCCCTACCCAGCCCGCACCGGCAGCTTGATGGGCAGGGTGGCCAGCCACAGGGTGTCGGCAGCCTTCTTCTGCCGGGCAGCCTCAGCCTCCTCGGGCACCTCAGTGGGGACTTCACCACGGTAGAAGGACACCTGGGGGTGGTCAGGCAGGTTCAGGGCTCTGGGCTCTGCCTCCGAGAGGCAGAGTGGGTGGGTAGGGGGTTGCCCTATTGCCCACCTGACCCCGCACGGCTTGAGTCTCCCGGTCCAGGGCCGTGGTCACATACACCTCCTTCACATTCTTCAGGTGTGAGTAGAAGACAAAGCACACCCTGCCCTCCACACAGTCTGGGCGCTCTGGGGGCAGGGCAGGGCTCAGCAGGGAGCTGGGGACAGGGTGGGGGGTGGGGAGAGCCCCAGGCCCCCCCCTCCACCAGCAGGGCCTTACCAGCATCCACATGGATGCCTCTTTCAAAGGCAGCGAAGAACTTCTCGCCTTCAAACAGCTCTACAGTGTCAGAAGGCTCAGGCCCTCGGTACCGCTCCAGCAGCCGCTTCAGCGTGGCATCCACCTGCAGGCCACCAGACTGACCCCCAGCCCCTGACTGCCCTCCCCCCACCCCAGGCCCCGTCCCTGCGCCCCCACCTTGTTTCGGGGAAGGCACTGCAGCAGCACCTGCTCGGGGTCCCGGCGTCTCTGCAAGGCAATGAGGTTCACCCGGTGCAGCCGCAGCCGCTCCCAGGCCTTGCGTGCCAGGCCCCCCACACAGGTCTTGGTGGTGTACCACAGCCAGTACCTGAGGGAGTATGGGGGGGGGCTCGTCAGGGGGCTGCGGAGACCTGGATAGGGGGTGGGGGACACACTGGTGTACCACAGCCAGTACCTGGGGAGGACGGGGTCAAGGAGGGCACTGACCAGGAGAAGTGTGTGACCTGGAAGCGGGCGTACAGGTGTGTGAGCTCCAGGGCTACCTGCATGGTGATGTCATCCCAGGTGGCCGAGGGAGGGGCCCGGTACAGCAGGTGCAAGCAGGAGCGGTCCAGACTCAGGCCTGGGCACAGGGGGCAGCAGGCTGAGGCCTCTGGGCAGGCTGGCCCTCCAGTACCTTCCCTGCCGCAGGCCCCCACCATCACTCCCCACCCAGCTTACCTGTGACACCAGGGGGCAGAGGCAGCTGGATGGTGATGGGCTGAAGGAAGTCAGGGACGCTGTCCTGCCAAAGGCACAACAGGGGACTCATGGCCGCCTCCGGGTCCCCCAGCAGCGCTTCCAGATCCAGGCTGGCCACATGCACCACCTGGAGGGCAAGATGTTTGAGTACCTGCCTGGGCCCCAGCGGCCCCTGCACAGCCCGGGCCTACCTGCATCCGCACACGGCGAGGCTCCTCGGTGGCCCCCGGAGGGAAGACCACCTTGATCCCGGGGTGCACCGAGGACAGGAGCAGCGCCCCCTCTGGCTGCACCAGGCAGGTATTGGACACTGGCCGGGAGACCACTAGGAACCAGGAGAAGTGAGGCACCTGGCAGCGAGCCCACAGCCGCTGGGGAAGGGTGGGGAAGGGGTGGAAGGGAGAGGTCCCAGTAAGAGCTCAGAACAGTCTCTGGGGTGGGGCTGCTGGGGGCACAGGCAGAGCGAGGGGGTCTGGGCTTAAAGGAGAGAGGGGTCAAGGCAAAGCTGCTGAGGCTGGGGTCCCAGGGTTGGGGGGGGGAGCGGGTCAGGGCAGAATCCAGGACAGGGGTCTCTGGGTTGGAGGGGGCCGGTAGGTCAGGGCAGAGCTGCTGGGGCAGGTGGACAGGCCAGGGGGTCACACCCCAGCATCCCTCCAGGCCCACCTTGGAGGCCACCACGCCCTCCAGATGGGTCTCCAGGTCTGTCCAGCTGTCCTCACTCAGCGTCCTGACCACCACCTCACGGTACCGCCGGGCCCGAGGGGGCGAGAAGAGCAGCCAGAGGCCCACGTCCTGCCAGGTGGGGTGGCGGCGGTGAGCAGAGGACCGGCCAGTGCGCACCCCTCAGCTGCCCACCTGGCTATGCCTTGCCTGCTGGAAGGCCACCCCGTGGGGCTGCAGCTCCAGGACGTGGCTGAGCAGCGTGTCGTGTGGCCCTAGAGGCACCAGGCGCGGCTCCGGCAGCCACAGTCGGTAGTGGATGGTGATGGGGGTGGCAGTGGCCCCCTCAGGGAAGTACAGGCGGAAGCCGCAAGCCAGGGTCACTGAGCAGCCTTGGGGGGTCACCAGGAAGCTGGGCACAGAAAGGGCAGGCATCAGGACACCCAGGGGAAGCCCCAGAGGCAAGTCTGTGGCAGGGGCCCGGTTTTGACAGGTGTCCACCCGGCCCTGCCCACACCTGTCCAATTCCGAGGTCAAGAAGAGGCTGGGCATTTCGGGAACCACAGGTGTCCCTGCAGGGAGGGCAGAGGAGCTGTTAGGTGGCCACTGATAGAACCTATGTCCGGTCTGTGGCCTCTACCTCCCTAGCCCCAAGCCTACCTGGGGGGCTCGGGGGATCCGGGGGGGGCCTGCCCAAGGGGTTCTCCTGCAGCTGCACGCAGGGGGCATCCAGGTACTCAGGGGGCACCTCCCGTAGCTTGTTGGCCCTCAGGTCAAGCCGGGTGAGCAGCGGGAGGCGGGTGAGGCCGATGGGCAGCGAGGTCAGGAGGTTGCTGAACAGGACACAGAGCCGCAGCGAGTGCAGTTTCGCTGGGGGCGGTGCTGGCTCAGTGCTGGCTCCCTGGAGCCTCGAAGGCCAGGGGCAGGGCCCACCCAAGGGGCAGTCCCAGGGACAAAGGCTCAAAGGTGAGGCAGCCTGGCAAGGGGCAGCAGGAGCCTCAGGGGAGTGGGGGGACCCCGGCAGGGAGCGTGGAGGCATGCCACTCACTCAGGGAGTCCGGGAGGCTCCCCAGTCGGTTGCGGGCCAGGTTGAGCTCAACGAGGTTGCTCAGGTCCCCGATCTCAGGGGGCAGCGTGTCCAGAAGGTTATCGGAGAGATCGAGGCGCTGAAGGGTAGACAGCGTGCCCAGTGCCGCCGGCACCATCTGCAGGTAGTTGTGGACGGCAGCGTAGAAGGTGAGGGCGGGGAAGGAGACTGGGAGCTCGGAGAAGTCGTTGTAAGAGATCAGCAGAGTGTCCAGGCAGGGCAGCTGCGAGACGCAGGCCGGCAGCGTCTCCAGCTTGTTGAAGCTCAGGTCCAGGTGCGTCAGGTGGGCCAGGCCACTCAGGCAGGAGGGCAGCGAGGTCAGGTTGCCCCGCAGGCGGTAACCCTCTGAGTCTTGCTGCTGCCCACCTGGGGAGTGGGGTGAGCTGGAGGTGGTCCTCAGAGCCAGAGACCCCACTCAGCCCTGCCAACCGGCAGGCCATGGGCATAAAGATGGAGACACCAAGAATGAGCCAGCACCTGGAGGGAGGCCAGGATGGCCACCCAGCTCATCTCGGTGGTCCAATGTCACCGTGGTGAACCGCCCCCTCTCCGCCCCCCCCAACAGTAACACACACACTGGGGACTACGGTGAGACAGAGTTGTGGCCAGCATCACCTTGGGGAGTGGGGACTGGGCCCAGGATGGTGAGGAGGTTAAAACCAGAGGCCGAGCCAGGAGTGCCTGGGTCTCCATCCACCTTGAGGGGCAGGCGGGGGCTGGACCAGGAGTGTCTGGGCCCCCACCTTGGGGGTGGGGCAGGGAGGGTCGAGTGGGGGCTGGCCTAGGGTTTGGAGGAGCACAAGGCAGGAGGCAGGGCAGAATGATGGAACTGAGCTGGTACGGGCTGGTTCTTACCTAAGAGCATCAAGGAATAGAGTTGGGGCAGCCTGCTGGGCAGCTGGGCCAGTGCGGCTTCCAGGAGCCCAGGGTCCTCGTGGGTGCCCAGCCGCAGGAATCTCAGCCGCTGCAGCTCCTCCGGGGACTGCTGGGCACACAGGTGCAGCAGGTGGCGGCAGCCCCCTGGGTGCAGGCTCAGGTTTAGGAGGTTCCTGTGTAGAAGGGGCTCTGCCTCCACGGCCCGAGCTGCAGCAGCCTCCTCTGGGCCTCGGACCACATCTTCTGTCGCATCTTCTGTCGCTAGCCTGTCCGTCACTGCTGCCATCGCCCACCGACTGCCCTTGGGGACCAGACATGTCCCAGCTTGCTGGGCAGGCCTGCTCAGGCAGAGTCAGGAGGCTGTGGAGACAGGGGGAGGAGTGGGCACCACGGGCGCTGGGGGAGGAGCCCGAGGTCAACCATCTAATCTTAGCACCTAGGGCTGTGCTGGCTGGAGTGGACCAGGCCCTGCAGGTCAGGCTGCTGCTGGGCCAGGGGCCAGCTCTGGAGCTAGGTGTGGGTGGGGCCCTGTGGATGGGAGGGGTCCAGAGGCCGAGGCTGGAGGGCAGGGGAGGAGGAGGAGGACCCCAGAGTTTCTGGACCTGTCAGGTCATCCTGGCTGACCTGTCCCTGGGGTTGACATGCGGGCCCAGCACCCCGCAGCACCCATGACCTCTGGCAAGAGTGGGGTGGCTGCGCCCCTTGTGGCGGAGAAGTGAATGTATTCGAGAGAACGTGGGGTGTGAGCCACTGGGGAGTTTCCTGGGGTTCCACTCAGGGACCACTACCAGGGAAAGGAAACTTCCGAATGCGGACGGAGTGCGGTTCGAAGCACCGGTGTGCGCTGGTCCCCGGCGGCCAGCGCTGCGGTCGCCTGCCTGTGCGGACTCCGAGGCCCCGGGAGAGCGCGGCGAGCAGCCGGGGGGCCCGGGATCCCCCGCCCTCTCCGCAGGTGGCCCGCGCGGCGTACCTGCGCTCCGGGTCCGGCTCCACGCTGAGCGGCCGGTTCCCGCCCGCGCGCTTCCGGGCGGCGGGTCCTCCGCGCCCCGCCCCTGCAGGCCCCGCCCAGCGGGGAGGGTCCACTGCAGCGGGCCTCCCGAGAGTCCGCGCGCGCCCAGCCTGGCCCGCTCCGCGCAGCCCGACGTTAAGTTGGACGGGTGCAGGCGGGACATAGGTTCTATCCACCCCTCGCGCGCCCACCCGCCTGCCCCTTCCGCACGCCCGACTCGGACCCTGGCGTGGGCCACGGGCGTGGAGGACCCCAGCCCGCGCCGGCCTGTCTCTGCTGTTTCTCCAACGCTTCTACGGACATCACACAATTGAGTAGTTCGATCACGTCAAGGCGAGTTGTACAGTCCTCACCACAGTCCGTCTAAAAGCATTCGCGTCACCTTGCCCTGATCCTTATTAGCTCCCCATGTCGCCCCCAAACTCCCGGCATACCCCAAAGGAACCAGGTACTGCCTATTGACTGTCTCTGTAGGCTTACCTATCCTGGATTTCATATCCAGAGAAATACTCAAGCAAAAGGTAACAAGAATGACAAAGCAATACATAAAAATATCAACAGAAAAGCAAGAAATATTAAAAATATATTAAAAGCAAGCCTCAGTGGATCATAAGGGAGATCCAATGATACGGTGCTAAATTTTAACCTAACTCCATCTGTAATAATCCACTTTGCAATGCATTTTGCGTGTTAGCAAGACTATTGACACCATGGTCCATGGTCAGAAGAGATTCACAGGGGCCTTTCCATGAGTATTTCCCTTCACTTCTGTTTTCCTAACTGAAACTGTTTGGAATAGGTCAAAACAGAGATCAAATTATACTATATATATGTAGTATACTACATTACATATATAGTATACAATGTTGTATGTTATATATATATATATACTACATTTTGACCTAACTACATCTGCCATACAGATTTTACAGTGATTTCTGTCTACATAACAGGGTTATATACCATCCCTCAACTATGATTGAAGGGGATCCACCGGACGGACGCTTAATCCCTCTGTGGACCCTGCAAATGGATATTGAGCTTCCACTGTCATCCATAGCCTTCTGCAAAGCAGGGGTTCATAATTTAAGCTCTTATGCCATTTTCTCCTTTAGATTTGGATTATATTATTTTCAATATCTGGATCACACAGGCTGGTGTGCTTCTTCCCTGTGCACTTCGTTGACACTTAGAGGACTACTCATATGAAAACAAACCTTAAGACCCCAGATGCTATTCTTTCTGATAGTCAGGCACCATCTAGTTTTCTTTGCCATACTTTGCTATGGCACCTAATTCTCCAGTGATCTCTTCATGAGCTCTCACATCAAGCAGAGTCATGTCGTCATTGAGAACGAATTATTTTTCCACTGGGGCTAGAATTAAGTGCAAGCCCAAAATCCATTCAGACATTTATGGTCTATGTATGTCTCTGGTTCACCTTAAAGACATTATAATTTTATTTTAGAGAACATTATCAATCATCTCCCTCGGGTGTCACTTCTATGACATCAAGTCAATGCTGACTCATAGTGACCCTACAGAGCAGGGTAGAATTGCTCCTGTGAGTCCCCAAGCCTGCAAATCTTTACAGTAGAAAGCTTCATCCTTCTGTGGAGCTGGGTGGTAGTTTCCAACTTCCTACCTCATGGCTCGCAGGACAATGCATAACCGCGGCACGCTGACAGTCTCCTTAGTTTAGCCCATGGTATAGAATTTACAACACTGCTGAGAAAAGGAAATGATACAAGTACAGGCCACTAAGAACCTCTGTACATGAATTGTCAGCTTATGCAGATTAAACCCTAGAGCAGTGGTTCTCAACCTTCTTAATGCCACGACCCTTAATACAGCTCATGTTGCAGTGACGCCCAACCATAAAATTATTTTTGTTGCTACTTCATAACTGTCATTTTGCTATTGTTATGAATTGTAATGTACATATATGATATGTAGGATGTATCTTCATTGTTACAAATTGAACATAATTAAACATAATTAAAGCATAGTGATTAATCACAAAACAATATTAAATTATATACTGTGAAATATTTATGTATTTTCCAATGGTCGTAGGCGACCCCTGTGAAAGGGTCATTCAACCCCCAAAGGGGTCTCTACCCACAGGTTGAGAACCGCTGCTCTATAGTGTACACAAACAACAGGGGTTGGTGAGGGGGCAAATCCTTCAGCTAGCTTCATGCACAGCAGAACCACGCCTACCCATTAATAATGCATGCCAAAACGAAGCGACGAGGGCATCCAGTTAGTAAGTATTTGGCAGTCCCAGCCACTGCTCATTGGGCCGCCGCCTCCTGAGGAGGGTCCAGGGCCTCGGCTCACTTTGCAGCTTTCACCACAGACCTGTGCCCTGGGTCACCCGGCCAGGACAGCCTCCTCCCGCCCCCATTCCCTTTCCACACAGATGGCCGAGGGTTTGTTGGTATTTTCCTGTCATTTTTATTACTGTGGCGATTAAATGCAGTTTCCCACCTCAATCATGAGTGTACAGTTAGATGGCACTGCTAATAGTCACAACATTTGGCGTCCATCACCTTCACTTTCAGATTGATCACCCCAGCAACAGTACAGGGGAATCAATTTTGAAAATCTAGCACAACCTGTAATATGATACATTTGAAGTGTGCTGCTGGAGAAGACTATTGAAAGCACAGTGGACGCTGACAGGACAGACAGATCTGTATTGGAAGAAGCACAACCAGAATGCTCCTTTGGACGCGTTGTCAGGAGAGACCAGTCCTCGGAGGACATCAGGTTTGGTAAAGTGAAGGGGCAGTGGAAAAGAGGCAGGCCCTCAAGGAGATGGATGGACACAGTGGCTGCAACCATGGGCTCAGGCACAGGACCGATTGTGAGGATGTGGCAGGACTGGGCCAGGTTCATTCACTAAAGTCAGAACAGACTCCTAGCAGCAGCTGCAGCATACATCACTTCCTTGCTTAAAACATTGGAATGGCTTCCTTAATAATTCCGCATCGCTGCCTGACCCAACGGGCCCTGCTTATGGAAGTGGGGGCAACCTCGCTGAGCTTAGCTCCAACTTCAGGTCTTCCCCAGGCAGCGACCTGCTGATGCTCCGGCTTGTTTCCATTACTACACTCTGCACCCCTTCCGCATCTCGCCTGCGAACGAGGGCCTCCTTATTCACGGTGCCTCCTCTCACTAGGCCAAACTGCGCGGAGGCATTGCGGGGCCCTTCTCCCAGCTCAGAGCTCAATCCAAATAGTGAGTGACATTTGTCTGATTTTGAAGTGGGCATGGACGCGGAGGTGCAACGGAGCCAGCAGGGCCTAGGGCATGTCCGCTCCAGGGCCCAGTGCTCAGGGCAGGGGTCAGTGAGACCTCGGCACCACAGGGGCAGGGCCTCGGCAGGGGAGGAGAGGGCCGGGCTGCAGGCACCCGATCGCGGGGCGGCTCTAGTTCTAGGGGGAAGACGGAGTGAGCGGCCCCACCACCTGACGAGCACCGACTGGATGAGAGCGACGCTCGGGCGCTGGAGGACATCGAGGAAGCCCCAGTGACAACGGCGAAGCGCGGTACAGTTCTAAGCCCCACCCAAGACCACGTGCAGACTCGCGGCTCGCACGGGATTCAGGCGGCGCTCAGGCGCTTCCGACAGTGATGCACTATGGGACTTCTAGTTCGCCATCTAAATAAGTTTCTGCTGCGCAGGCGTGGTCCTGGCCGTTGTGTCCCAGGCCGTCGCATTGCATGCTGGGAGTTGTAGGCGCTGTGTAGCACGCTAGGAGCGCGAGGCCCCGAAGAGAGCAGCAGGCGAATTCCGACTCGCGGCCTCCGTCGAACGACTACCCAACAGACGCGGGAGGACCTTCTCCCCATGCCAAACGAGAAAGTGTCTCAACAAAGTCGTCTGCGCCTTTGCTACAGGGACTGCGTGACTTGGGGCAATGGCGTCCCGTCGGTCCTCATTGGCTTGGCGCTCCGTGACGTCACCAGGAGGCGCCCTAGGGGTGGCCTCCTGCGTGCCCTAGAGGCTTCTGGGTAGCGGTTTAATCCCGCCCCTTGCGCCGGCGCCTTCCTTTTCCTCCCTGAAGCCAGCGAGGTCGCACGCGTGAGGCCTGTGCACCGCCGCCGAGTGAGTAGGTCTTCCGCGCCGCGGAGCGGGCGCTTGGGCGCGGGGTCCCGGGGTCGCGGCAGCTCCTTGGTCCGCAGGTAGGCTGCTCCGGGCGGCCGCTGGGTAGGGGCCTCCGGGTCAGGCCACGCTCGGTCTCACTTGGCCTCGGGCCGGAGGGGCCGCGAGTAGAGGCCTCGGGTAACGTGGCCGCTGGGACTTTTATGCCACCTTTCAGAATGCGCTACGTCGCCTCCTACCTGCTGGCCGCCCTCGGGGGCAATGCGTCTCCCAGCGCCAAGGACATCAAGAAAATCCTGGACAGCGTGGGCATCGAGGCCGACGACGACCGGCTCAACAAGGTAGGCGAGCCTGCGAGGAAGTCGCGAGAGGGCCTTTTGGGCCATCCCGTGCCCCTTCCGTGGACCGCGATGGCTGACTCAACACGATTAGCGTTCCTAACAGGCCAGCTGGTCTGCGGGAAACGAGTTTTTCTGTACCCCTTAACATTTACAG